ATTGATTTTCTTCATGTTTTGACTATTGTTATGGTCAGCTGCAAGCTGGCATATCAGGTGACGTCACGGTTTGACGTGCCTGTGTAGAATGGGGTTAGCCCAAACCAGATAAATTGTATAGAGATCTTGGGTTCAGGGTCTTTCATCTTCCAGGCTGCCTGCGCGCAGGTTTGGGGGTAGAAGAGATCAGGACGTGTAATGTTAATTTTACCTGTGATCCTTTGAATAAACCAGCACGGTTGTTTTTTTATATAATCTAAGTGGTCTACTTTGTCTTTGAGTTCCTGGTTTGAAAGAGCCAGAAGAGCCTAAAACAAATAGAGCCTTTATACTAGAGGACGTGAGAATGTTTTTAGCTACACACCACTTAACCAACACACACACACATTCACACATTGATTTGCTGCATGTTTTGACTACTGCTAGGGCCAGCTGCAAAGCTGGTGAGAGAGATGTCTCGGTTGACGTTTCTGTGTAATATGGGGCTAGCCCAACCGAGGTGTTATAATGTATAGGCCTGTTGTGGTTCAGGGTCTTTCATCTTACATCTGCCTGCGTGCAGGTTGGAGGTGCAAGATACTTGAGCGTGTAATGTTAACTTTACCTGTGATCCTTTGAATAAATCAGCACTGTTTTGAAGTTACTTGGACTGTCTCGTCTCTGAGTTAGCAATGGTAATAAGAACCATATCCTGCACTGTACTGCCTTGCTGAACCTGCTGCCACCGCAACCCGATCTCAGATAAATGGAAGAAAATTGATAGATGGGGAAAAAAAAAAAAATTGTACTCATCAAAACTTTATAAATCAGCTAATTAGCTATACTTGGACATTTTGTGGCTAACCACTTGAAAAAAAATGTTTCCGACAAACTAAATGACTAAAGTGGAGCACTACCAGAGAAAATTTAAACTGAACTTAGAGGAATGTTTCCAAAAACCACTGTTAAAAAATAAGGTGTGAAGCCACACTTGGGCTTTCCCACTAGAGTGGAGAGTCCCCATTAACCACAATCCCAGGTAAATGTCACACTTTCAAACAGGATGCACCTCAAAAAAACGTGAACTACATTTACAGCCACAATTTGCCATTTAGAACAAACATACCGACACACTTAACTGTTCTCATTCTCATTTCTGTCTCATAGTGTTTCAACAAAGTTTTTGTTTTTCCCCATCAGCCCACAGAAACCTCTTTGTGGTCAGATGTTGGGGCAGGGGCCATTGTTCTGTTAGTAACAAGACATTCTTGGTGTGTTTGCATTAGGCTGCAGTGTGCAGTCATTTGTGATGTGTCTGTTTGATGAGTGGAATCATATCTAGTTTTAAAAGTTGTTGCTGATACTATTACAAGTTGGGGATGTTTCAGTTCAAGGTTTACCACAGTACACATTGAAATCTGCTGTTGAGGTGTGTCTGGCTCCCCATGTGTGCATGCTTGCTGCTAACTACAGTAAATCCATTTTTTGGTGGTGTTAACATTACAGAGTCATGTTATTCCAACTTTACATTTCACACCTGAAGAAGCACCTGCTTTCCTCTAACTGTACATGCCAGGAATAATGTCAAATGTATAAATCTGAATTTAAGAAAATAAAAATAAGAAAGTTAAATAATGTTAAAGCAGCTCCAGTGCTTGGTGAGCAGGGGAACCAGTGTGTGTCTCCACAAAATCCAGCTTGGCTGACGTATCACTAGAAGTTTTGAAATGAACAGAGTGGATATGGAGCCAGCAGTCCTGTAGCCATGCCACTTACACTAATGGTTATGTGAGGGATTGCGATCTTGCAGAGCACTGAAATGATTCCAGCTCTAGGTAATGTTGTTGAAAAGTGAAAACTCACCAGCTTGATGTTTTTCTAGTCCTTCAGTAAAAGCAA